TTTCATTAAAAACTACCCTTACTACTCCTGCTTTTTAATTTTACAATCAAGCCTTTGGAATGCTTTCTAATATTCTTAATTACTGATTCATAAAATGAAAACATTAAAACTGATTGTGAAATCTCTTTAAGATGACAGATGTAATACTCAACAGCAACCAGAACTAACACTGAACTCATTTACATCAGTACCTACTAGGGAGAACAGTACCAAACCTGGATTTGCCATATATAATTGCTTAATACATCAGCAATTCTATCTTCTATTATGGCTAGAGTAACTCCTGAATTATGATGAACATTTGAAAGACAGAGGTCATAAGAACCTATCCTCCTGGCTTGAACAAAGGATAATAGAGGAGTTAATAGCTCTGAGATAGAACTGGCTTCTTCATCTGAGTGACAGAAGGAACTGCCCAAGAATCCAAGGCTTGGAAGCATTGCCTATGCAGATGTTTTCCTGATATATCTGTCAGTATTTTATCATGATTCAGCAGTCAATTATGGAAATGGGATAAGGTTGGGGGCATGTCTGCATAAGTCACATAACTGTTTTGGAAAGTCAGCCTTGGATCACTTTTTCCCCCAACACTACCAGCTGAGCAGGGGTCATGTAAAGGGCTCTGAGGGTACCCTGCTTCTTTGCTAGGTTAGGGTCCTTTTACAAACCAGATATTCCTGCCAGCCTCCTTCTAGCACATAAACGTATCAGCTTTATTACAAGAGTGGGCTGTTAAAAAAACAAAATAAAAAGAAAGAATACTTAGAGCATTCTAGTTTGAGCTTCCATTCAGAATAGTAGCTAAATAACTACTTCTGTCACCCAGCTCTGCAATGTCAAACACAACTAACTTCACTGCAGTTTCCTACCCCTCCATGTTAGTGGGAGTACACATCACAGAATAAGGGGATATAGTTGATAATGACGTAAAGTAGCATTCTAAATATTTTGAGAAGTCTTTAAGGGAAGTTGAGCAAGGGAGTTCTTCCTCAACAAGGTAACATCTACCTTATATTGTACTGATACAAGACAAATAGCCTGATCGACCGTTTTTCAATGGCATCAGTCAGAAATCAGAATTACTTTGTCTTCATAAATATCAAGGTAAACTTCAAGACTATGTTAATATAGTATGTTTAAGAAAGAATCTGACTCTTTTTTCTCTCTCTTATATGCTCACATTTTTATTTTGTTCCTCTTCTTATACCAAATTCCTACAAAGTCTAGTCTAGTCACAGTTTTATATCCAGTTATTCTTTTGGCATCTGATCATTACACCTGAAAAGGAATTCAATATAGTGAAGCAGAACATCAAGCCATTTTGCCATTTATGCTAACCAACATTGCCTGTCAGCATCTCCTCATGTTTGCATGATGATCTCCCTTTCTGTCTGATTGGCTCATTAGTGATCATCCAGATGATTACAAAGAAATAGCTTTGGATAAGGAGCAGTCCTACAACAGGCTTTGTACAGCAGAAATGCTTCTGTTCTGTATGATGCACCAATTTGAGATGAGTCATATTTGCCAGGTAGAGGAACAGAACTTCTAAAAATGCATTAACAGGTTCCATCTGGTTCATAAGTCTTTTTATCTCAATAGTATTTTGAAGGTAATGGGACCCAATTAATTAACAATTAATTAATTAATTAAAATGTCCCCAGAGCAAAAGGGGGGGTTATATCAGCCCTAGAGTTGATGTAGTTATTTTTACTCCCACTGAGACTGGCACAAAAAGGGAGGGAGCACAGCTTCTCCACTTTTTGCCTGGCTGGCAGCTGCAGCCTGGCCATTAAGCTTAGGAGGAGTGCAGTTATTCTTCTGTGAGTTCTTCCTCTCTGCCCTCACAGTTTTGTTATTCTACTGTAAAATACTCCTAAATGTTATCAGAATAAGCATAGTATATTACTGTTTTTCTTGCATGGAAATTAATAGCTGTCAGCTTCACTTGGAAATAAGTTTCACTGTGTTCAGTAACTTTACTTACAGGTAATTGTACACTGGGCTGCAATTGCACTATGCAAAAAATTACAGCCTAGGATGCACTAAATAAAATGATATTTATTTCCAAATAAACATTCATAGGATTATGTTGCAAGGACTAGTATACTCTTTAGATTTATACCGTGACTGAAATCAGTTATTACTTGTCCTTTACATGAGCTGACACTTACAGTAACCCTATGTTACAGATTGAGATTACGGATCACATTAGTCTATAATGTGGTTCGTTTGTTTTTGATTGGCTTGCTGCCCTAACAAATATAGTTTATTCACTGATCCCATTCATACGTCAATGAATAAACTCTTCTCGGATACAGCAGCAGGCCAGGGTTAACTTACTGAAAGCAACTCAACACACTGTGGTTTAATGGGATTTGTGAACAGAGATACATGGTTTGTGTGTTTTCTGTTTTCTTTTGATTATTTCTACTCAGCGGTGGGCACTCTTTTTTGTGCTGAAGACCACAGTGCCTTAGATGTAACCTGTTGGGAGTTTGGGGTGGGTGGGGAGGCAGAAACAAGCAAGCAATAGATACAGCCAAAAGTTAGCCTCGCACATCAGGTTCCTTCCCCCCTTTCCCCCGTCACCCTCTTTTCTCTCTCCCAAGTTGCAGGCCACAGGAAATAGCCAGATAGCTTTTATTAGCAGGCTGATGCTCTTTCATAAAGTTTAGAAATAAACTCATAAAGTTT